CATCGTGAAAGTCCCAACAGCTAGGTGTAAAATGCCAAGCACATATAGTGTCTACGTGACAGGAAAGCTGGATGGCCAAAGGTGCAACTTTGTCATAGATTCTGCATCTCAGCAAATCCTTGTGAGTATCAAGATGATGGATCACAAAGGAGTACCAGAAGCCATACATAAGCTCTGTGGTGTGACAGGACATTCTGCAAGGTTGTGGGGACCAGTGTGGGTAACTATTGAGCTCATAGGTATGAAGGACAGACACAAAGTATACTTGGCTGGCATTGAAGACCCATGCATACTAGAGTTGACTACTTACTACCGAGGAAGTGTGTAATTAATTTTGATAAATTGACGTTTGGAAACAACATCAACTGCATACTAGGATTAATTTAGTGTTTGTTTTTATGCAGCAAAGCCATATTGGGCTATTTGCTGTATCCACCGTGGGGATTCAATCTCCGGATTTTATCGTTGAAAAAAGTCCATAGACATACTGCTGTCCCACCAGGAGACTGCTAGGATTAGAAATATCTGACTTAACTTCTTTTAAAATTAAATACCGAAGGAGAAAGTAGTAGTGATGACAGTATGCGTTTTGAGCTTCAGTTGCTCTCACCTCTGACTTGTGGTGTTCATCTTCAAGGTTATACGTCCTATGACCTTATCGTGTCCTCAAGGTTATACGACCATGACCTTGTTGTATCCATCTGCTGCTAGTCGCACAGTTTTATAAAAGAAAACTCAATATCTTAAATAAATAAAATTTTAAATTAAGATTTCGTTACTGGAGAGAAGAACAGGTGGAAACAACCATTTCTGCCCAACAAGTGGCTTTAATTAGAACTGACAACTTTTACAAAACAGAGGTACCATAGTACTGACACATTCCTTTGGATTAGTACCACAAAATTAATGTGGTAATTCCACAACTTGAAAACAACAAAAATATACGAAACTTCAATTGCAGATAATGTCAAGTAGGTTTTGTTTTTCTTGATCGGATACAAATTCTCCTCTAGAAAGTTATATCAAGAAAATATTCGTGTTTCTAAATACATAGGTAAATAAAATAATGCACCTAAAGACCTCTACATATGTGTGAAGGAGAACGTCATTCTTTTATCACCCCTTTTGCTATAGTAATGCATGTTGTCCCTGCAGTACAACTGGGCCACACTCTACCCTTTTCCACCCGGCGACATTCTTCTTCCTATCATCTGGTTGTGACGTACAGTGTCCAGTTCCAGTAGAAATGAATGGAATCTAGACTAAAATCGATTCTTACACAGCGAAGCTTCCTAGTTGATAGGCCAACACGTTTCACTTGTTCAGTAAAGCTACCTAGTTGATAGGCCAACACGTTTCACTTGTTCAGTAAAGCTTCCTAGTTGATAAGCCAACAAGTTTCAGTTGTTCAGTAAAGCTACCTAGTTGATAGGCCAACACGTTTCACTTGTTCAGTAAAGCTTTCTAGTTGATAAGCCAACAAGTTTCACTTGTTCAGTAAAGCTACCTAGTTGACAAGCCAACACGTTTCACTTGTTCAGTGAAGCTACCTAGTTGATAAGCCAACACGTTTCTCTTGTTCAGTAAAGCTACCTAGTTGGTAAGCCAACACGTTTCTCTTGTTCAGTAAAGCTACCTAGTTGGTAAGCCAACAAGTTTCACTTGTTCAGTAAAGCTACCTAGTTGGTAAGCCAACACGTTTCTCTTGTTCAGTAAAGCTACCTAGTTGATAAGCCAACACGTTTCTCTTGTTCAGTAAAGCTACCTAGTTGGTAAGCCAACACGTTTCTCTTGTTCAGTAAAGCTACCTAGTTGGTAAGCCAACACGTTTCTCTTGTTCAGTAAAGCTACCTAGTTGGTAAGCAACACGTTTCTCTTGTTCAGTAAAGCTACCTAGTTGGTAAGCCAACACGTTTCTCTTGTTCAGTAAAACTCTTTCAGTTAGTAAACCAACACGTTTCTCTTGTTCAGTAAAGCTACCTAGTTGATAAGCCAACACGTTTCTCTTGTTCAGTAAAGCTACCTAGTTGATAAGCCAACACGTTTCTCTTGTTCAGTAAAACTCCTTCAGTTAGTAAACCAACACATCTCACTTGGATTTATTATTGTGAACATACAATATAATAAACTTTATTGTTACAGAAATAATAAATCTTTACAAAAACCTAAGATCTGTAAAATTGGTAATGCAGGTTAAAAGAAATATTTTTGAATGAAATTGATGTATGTATTATAACATTTAAATGTTTTTTGTATAATGAAACTGATGATTTTAACTTCCATATTTAGATTTCTCAAACTACATAACAGTTTCTGTAAATTAATTAACATTATATGTAAACAAGCCTGAGAAAATAACATCAATTGGATTTTTTTCTAATAACTAAGATAACCTTTTAACTAGTTTTTAATATGTTGAAGTGTAACAAAATGGAGAAAAAAAATGATTGCATGAAGTTATTGATTTTTAACCTTAATTTCGAGAGTCAATCATACAGAAACTACCATGTTTATTTTGTAGAAACTTTGAACAGGAAATTTACTATATCAATTTCTTAAATAAAACTCTGCTGAAGTTTAGTATTCAATCTCTCCCTGTGAAAGGAAAAAAGAAACTCACAAAAATTGTTCTGGTGTTGATGAAACCTTTCTGACCTTACACTGTAAGAACTGTTTTCAATATGTACATGACATCTAGAACACTGACCTTGATTTATACTGTAAGAATTGTTTTCAACATGTACATGACATCTAGAGCACTGACCTTGATTTGCACTGTAAGAATTGTTTCCAATATGTACATGGCATCTAGAGCACTGACCTTGATTTACACTGTAAGAACTGTTTTCAATACCTACATGACATCTAGAGCACTGACCTTGATTTGTACTGTAAGAATTGTTTTCAATATGTACATGACATCTAGAGCACTGACCTTGATTTGCACTGTAAGAATTGTTTCCAATATGTATATGGCATCTAGAGCACTGACCTTGATTTACACTGTAAAAACTGTTTTCAATACCAACATGACATCTAGAGCACTGATCTTGATTTAAGAATGGTTTTAAACATGTTCATGACATCTAGAACATTCTGTGCACTTAGCAAGTAGAAAAAACAATAAATAAATAATTTAACTAATTCTTATGACTTTCATTGGTTGAGCTCTGACCAATCACTGAACAAACTATGACAGTGAAAGAGACTACAATGATAAAAACAAAGTATCTCAAGTCTTAATATTCCTCCTGCTTCAGTTTTCTTATCCTCTTTTGCTTGGTTTCTTACATTTATGATGACCCTTCTTTCTGATCATCTTAATTTCAATAGGAACTACATCATAACTGCATCCATATCATGTAAACATCACACCTTCCAAATATGCAACTAAAACTACAATATATCTGACTTTCAGACATTCTCCCATTGTGTACTGACAAATTCAGCATTTAAAAGTTTTTCCTTCTATTAGTAAGTTACTTTGCAAAAAGCAACAACTTTCACCAAATTTTGACATAAAATTGGAGAATTCCTTTTAAAATGATGGATTCTATGCAAGAAGTAAACTGACGAGCATAAAAGTTCTGTTGTTCAAAGGCTCTTAGTACTAAGTTACCACTGAAAGGCAATTTCTAGGGTTCTTATAGTTTGTCTGATATTGTGATGACCAAAATAACTAATTTCACTACGATTGACTCTCAATTTTAGGGTTGAATCATTTTATAACTAGATCTATTTATATCAACCTTAAAATATGTTACTCGTTAGTGATTAAACAAATGAAAAAAAAAAGAGCACAAGACACATTTCAAATGCCATAAATAGTTTATCAACCTAAATTTTAGAACAGAGGTGTATTTGATAAGAATGTTGGTTTCCAGCTTAATAACGAAAAGATACAGTATTTCTCACATGGAGAGAGATAGGAGCACATTTGTATTGTAGCTTCGTAATATCTATTCAAATATACTCCCTTTTTCCTCCCTCTCCTCAGCCTGGCTCCATTTCACAAAATAAAAACTTAAAAAAAAATAGTGTCAAAATAATTACACACCTACTCATTAAAGAAATCTTTCCATAAAATACTTTTTCTTGTTGTGTGAGCTTACAATTTACAAGGACTAGAGATTAATCTATCTAACTTCTTTTACCTAACAGCTTTATTTGTGAGCAGTTCTTGCAGTTATTAAAAGCATGCTTTTGATTTAAAAAAAGTTAAACCATAGTATAAAAAAATATATTTTAATTAACAACGAGTGATTTCTGAAGTTTCATTCTCTCGTATTATATTTTTAGTTAACTTCATGAAACAAGTGAAGTTCAATTAAAGAGAAAAAAACAAAGGCAGCCTTAAGTTTGTTTTTTAAAAAGTTTGCATTTAAAGCCACCTAACACGGAGGGAAATACACACACTACAAGCTCACAAGTAAGTTTTTTTTAACAGATTATACTGTGAAATTACCACTAAGATGTACAACTGTATTATAATTAATTTTCAGTTGATACTAATACTGCATTAAACTATGGTATAGAATGTTCAGCAGTTAACTTTGTTACTTGTGAGACAATCATTCTGTTGCCTGTTTCAAAAATAAAGTCTCATATTGTGTACACAAATTTACAGTCACATTTCTTCCAGGCATATGGGATCAAACCTTCTAAAAACTCACTGGAAACTACAATCTACAGGACTAACACCACCATTAAATAGTATGGACATTCTTTCAATGCAATTATATATATATATATTTATACATGTATATATATATATAGATTTTAGTATAATATGTGTATGCAGGTGATAGATGAATTATGGTAAACTTTCAAATAACACCCCAAGCCATAATTTCCAAGTCTAATCAATCTCATGCATCTTTTTCCAGGGTTATCCAACATCATATGAAGCCAACATCTGCAGCAGGAGCGAAGCCAATGATAAAAAAAAAGAATCCAAGAAATCTTTGCAAGTTTTAAACATCATTACAAGTTGTTACAAATTATTATTTCCAGTCAAAACATATCTCCTTTATTCATATAGATACTAATTTATAAAACAAGTATCACAAAAAACAACAACAACAAAAAAAACCATCCGTAAGCTTGGATTAACACCATATTCTCTTACCAATGGTTCTTGTACATTAAGTTCCTTGTGGTCACACACTGATATTAGTCTTCACATTTGTTGATCGATAATAAGTTCCACGAGAGTCTGACTTGCTACATTTACAAAATGTTTAATCTCCTGGCATTATTTACTCAATAAAAATCAATCATAAAAGAAATGTTTCTACAAATAAGATCTGGTGAATTACTGTGAAGGAGATTAGAAAGGTATAAAACCTTTTAGGCTCATTAAGTGATAAAATAAAATGGCTAGAGAAGCACAAAGTTGGAATAATTAACTGTTAAAATTAGGTTAAAATCAATGCAAATAGAGAAAGAAATATCCAGGGACAGCTCTCCTACACAAATTTGAATATTTCCCAAACAATTTGAAAGAAAGAAAGAAAAAGATGGCTGAATTTACAGTAAAGATGAATGTTTTTTTTTTCCCAATTACTACACATCTACATTACAAGATTACAGATGGTATTGACCTCGCAGGGACAACATTTAAACAACAGATTAATTATCCAAAAAGCTTCAGTATCAATTTTGTTTCTTTTTCTCTCTCTCTCCCAAGATACATTATAACTCTCAAGTACAGAGATTGATTTCAAGACCTGTTTTATGGATAAATCTGAACATAACCCAGCAAAAATCCCTGAATACCTTCAATATACCAAACAACCTTAACTGAGTATATTAAAGATATAAAACAATCATCAACTTTTCATTTGTTATTTTAACAAGTACTTCATTTATATTTGAAGATGGCTGGTGAAATAATACTAGAAACGTAAGTGAAGGAACCCGAACAGAAATGTCATTGCTGATATAAAAATCTAGAGAAAGAAGGTTTAAGGCATTTCAACTGGTTGTAATAAAGATGGGAAAAGCAAACCCTAGTACCACTTTGTCTTTATTTACAGCACCGTACTCAAGATTCCATTATCACGTAGCAAATCTTACACATTGTTAAAACACACCACAAAAATATCTGAGTCCAAGCAGCAAACACTTCCTGCCTTAAAAGATTTTCACTTACAGGTGGCATTGATAAAGTAACAGAGCAAACCTAGCAACAGAAGATGTTACAGAGACAAGCTGTGTCATTACAATATTAACTCTGTTGGATAATATTTCGTTTTGGAGCATTTCATTAACACACTACTTAGAGTGCACAACTGAATGCTAAGTGTAGATAACTCTTAAACATCACTTCTCTGCCATTAATATCTTCAAACTCTGTCACAGTTCACACACATTTTATTTGCCCATTTTGCCACTAGAGACATGTTCTTCACGAGACGATCTTGAAGATATTCGGTGTGAGCGTTCCTTTTCCACAGCTCCCACTCCATTATTTCCAACTTTGATTTCATTATCTTTAAAGTTGCTTTTTTGTTCACTAACTTTTGGTTTAACAAAGTCTCCAGAAATGCTCTCTGAAACAGTAAAGTATAAAAATTGGACAACTTTCGAAGTAAGTACTTTTACTAACACTAGTTAAAACTGACTAACATTTTCCTCTGCTATTTGCTGAAGTGATACACAAATATTATTAGATTCTGTTAAATATTCTAGAATATAAAGGCTGGTCACCAAACATGACAGATCATTCAGTATATTGGACTTAGTATCATATAATTATAGATAAGTCAAATTATTTTTGCTTATTTGGGCAACATATTGTTGGTGGATCAGTAGCATGTTAGTAAGTAGATGCTAACCTATTGGTGCAATGATACTTGAAGGGCATAAATATTTGTGTTAAAAATTTGATGGACAACATTAAGCATCATTTGTTGTTTAGTTTGTTTCCCTTGGCAGGACTTGTAATACTTCTTTGGATTTGAAAACTGAGCACAATGTGTAGTATTACTTGGGCTACAGTGAGCACGCTGTGTGATGCGTTTACTAAACTGAGGAAGTTTTGTGGTATTACTCAGGCTACAGCGAGCATACTGTGTGATGTCTGTACTAAACTTAGCAGGTTTTATGGTATTACCCAGGCTACAGCGAGCATACTGTGTGATGTCTGTATTAAACTTAGCAGGTTTTATAGTATTACTCAGGCTAGAGCAAGCATACTGTGTGATGTCTGTACTAAACTTAGCAGGTTTTATAGTATTACTCATGCTACAGCGAGCATACTGTGTGATGTCTGTACTAAACTTAGCAGGTTTTATGGTATTACTCAGGCTACAGCGAGTATACTGTGTGATGTCTGTACTAAACTTAGCAGGTTTTATGGTGTTACTCAGGCTACAGCGAGTATACTGTGTGATGTGTAGACTAAGCTAAGCAGGTTTTATGGTATTACTCATGCTACAGCGAGCATACTGTGTGATGTCTGTACTAAACTTAGCAGGTTTTATGGTATTACCCAGGCTACAGCGAGCATACTGTGTGATGTCTGTACTAAACTTAGCAGGTTTTATAGTATTACTCATGCTACAGCGAGCATACTGTGTGATGTCTGTACTAAACTTAGCAGGTTTTATGGTATTACTCATGCTACAGCAAGCATACTGTGTGATGTCTGTACTAAACTTAGCAGGTTTTATGGTGTTACATAAACTACAGCGAGCAACTGATGTGTGCACTAAACTTTGCAGGTTTTGTGGTATTACTCGGGTTACAGCAAACACACTGTGTGACGTGTAGACTAAGCTGAGCAGGTTTTGAAACATTAACTCTTCTAAGTTATTAAGGGTACCAGGTGTCATGTTTTCACTTGTATTTTTTGTATCCTATATTCTTAAAACTAAGGTTATTGTAAAAAATTAAAAAAGTAAATGAAGAGATATGTGGGATTTATCACACTACAACAACGTAATTTTGGCCTCTATACCAACATCACTTCTACCAGATGTCACCCAGTGACTAGAGAACAAGCACAATATCTAGAGAAACCTACTTGAATCAGAAGCCAAATGTTTACTTGAAGCACTCTCCACGTGATGCTGCTGTCGTACGGCTGTCTCATGGCGTTCCTTTTCTTTCAATTCAAAGGCTAGTCTTTCCACTGAATCTTTAGCTCTTTGTGCAACTTCTGAGTAAGTCAGTTTTCGTCCTTTGTCTTTAGATCCAATCTTTGTTAAAAAAAGAAATACACTAGTACATCTTCCATGGATTTATTTAAAACTGAAATAAAATCAATTTTAGAAACTACAGATACAAATGAAGACTCATTATGTTGGTGATAAATTTATATATTAAAACATTTTTTACAATTATGAGGTAGACAGACTGAAATACTTGTAAAAGTCTGATGAAATCATAACTGAAGTGTAATTCTTCGGATTAAAAATAAAATAAAAATACAGAAATTTATTATGATGTAGATTCCAATATATTCATAAAAACCACTGAAAGTCTTGCTCAAACACTTATTTTATGCATAATTCATATTCTAAGTGACACCATAATTAACTGATCATAAACCTACTATGGGACAGATACCTGTGAATAAGCACAACCCAAACAAGTCAGTGGAGAAATGTCTAGCACAATGTCGCAGAAATAACTTTTCCTTGAAAACTCAATGTCTGTATAAACATGTTAACATATACATCAACTAAAGAATACACTAACTCTTTTGTTACTGCCACAACATGTTAAGCCGCTAAAGAATACAACTCTTTTTGTTATTGCCACAGCAGGTTATGCCACTAAATAACAAATTTTAAAGCTTCAGATCTTTACAAAGTGGGAATGAACAACTATACAGAAAATATTTTTTTGACATTTATCTTATTGATAAAAACCTCTCTCAAATAAAAACCAATAGTTTTTATAACTGCCTTGAAAGTTAAAGATAGATGGATGAGTATCCTGTGATAGGTTGGAAAATATATTGATATTTCAGCAAATGGAGAAGTTATGATGTTAATATTATACATTTAACCTTGCCAATATTCACTGCTTGTGTTTGTATTAGTTAGATAATGTAGAACAGTGTTTCTCAGCAAGAGTTGTTAGACGACTCCTCATTATCTCTACAAGGATGAAATAACAGTTCGTCATGGTTCATAACAAAGGTGATTTATGTACCTTTCAGACACCTTGAGGACTAAACAAAAAAATGTTGACTCAGTGTAGACAGCTTGTGACTCCCTTGTTTGAGAAACACTGCTGTAGAAGTTAGACTACTGAAGTTATACAAACTAGAAGGGCGAGAATTGTGAGTGCATGCACATCATAAGTAAAGACTGAAAATTTTTCAAAATATTCGATTTTGAAGGTAATAAATAAACTTAACTCTCTCAATACAGGCTCAGTCAATTTGTATTTTGACTTTTTTGTACTTGCTTAGTCTTTATAGATATAATACTTTTAACTCTCAATAAACTAAGTGACATTGATTATATTCTGTTCAGAACACAACGTTATACAATATGTCATTTGATGGATGAAAACCTTGACTTTCTATTGTTTATAAGTAATACATAATGAAACGAAAGAGAGAACTATCAACGAATTGTGAAAGAGAGGATGTGACAGGAGGGGTCTGATTTACTAATCGACAGCTTTGTAACCAAAAAAATTGAAGACTTAAAAATTATGTGGTTTGTCTTAGCAATAACGATTTTATAGTAATTTATGTTAAATTTCATACTTTTTCGAGGGATGGTGGATAAAATAGGGATGATGACATGCTAAGAGAAAATTTGTCACATGGTTCACAATAGTGGAAATTCAGAATTTTTTTTAAATATTGCCTTGTAGAATTAAGAACATAAAACTTGTATACTATTAAAATATGGATTATTAGCTGAGATTTTATGCTATTCTAATTGATATAACATAAACAAAGAGTAGTTTAATATAATTTTGAATGTAGGACACTATGTATCATGTGCAGTAAAGGATACCCGTGGTGAAAGGGTTAATTAAACTTTGAATGTATCTGTCCAAAATGTCACGATATGCACAAAAGAGCCAGGTCCAGGTGCATAGAGTTAATACTATACTACAATGACAAGGTAGCTTAAACCTGCAGTACACTTTCACTGTATATATTCATATTTATTGTATAATCCAATCCTAAAATACTGAAACTAAATAGAAAACAGATCTTTTACGAATTTGAGGGCTACTTGCACAAGCTTCATTTTGAAGTGACAGACTTGAAGAAAGGTAGCTGGTCAACACCACCCACTGTCAACTTTGGAATAATCTTTAACAACGAATACTGGGATTGACCATCACATTTTAATGCTTCCATATATGAAATTGTGAGCATGTTTGGGGACAGAATTTGAACCTGTGACCCTCAAATTGTGAATCAAATGCCCTAACCACCAGGCCTGAACAGATAACAGGAGCCAAGTATCTGAAATCTGGTCAAAACTACCACTTGTCATATCCCTGTAATTAGTCAAATAAAACATACTTTAAGGCCTTCCATTTTAAAGCTAAAAGTAGTGTGACAACTTCCAAATCCTGCTATAAATTTCATTGAGAAATTACACTGACTTATGACAACAGCAAGTACTTTTATCATTTCATCAGCCTGAATTTTTGATTCTCCAAATAGAAAACATTCAACAGTTGGAAATATACACTAGCCAAATTTAAAAACACTACAAATCTGGTTTAATAACTAATACACTTACGGATAAGTCAATGTTTCCATTTATCAGGAAGCTTGTACTTTCCTGCTGTTTAACCACTGGATGTGACTGGATGGTTGTAGTCTTTGTGGGAATGATGGATTTAAAAGCAGGTTGAGGTGAGCAAAACATGGTTGGAGTTGAACTAGTAGGGTTTGGAGATATGGCGCAGCAACTATCAATTTCAGTCGTAACGGTGGAGGTCAGAACAACAGTTCTGTTGGTATTATGAACTGTTGGCTTTGATTTGGTTTCTGGCTCAGAACGTGCATCCTCAGTTGAAAATGGTTGCTTTGGCTCAGACTGCACTGAACACATACCTTCAGTTAAGCTGTGATGATTAAGTAGTCTTTCATCTCTGTAAAACATCGCAATTAACAACAAAAATTTCACTTAATGCTTCATTACAGAAAAAAAAAGCAACAGTACAATCATTCATAGCTATTGAAAGAAAGAAAGAACATGTTTAATGATACTTCTCTTTGAGAAAAAAAAAACATGTTTACTGTAAAAAAAAAAAAATCCTTCTGATCCAGTGTTTGTTTAATACTTGAGTGTATATAGTTTAAGTCTGCCCTTAGGAACAGTCGGGAGTTTTTGGGCTGGCCTGTCAATTAGATACAGTATCAAACTGGGAAAAGCACTAAAAGATAAGCTCTTATTCTGGGAGGGAAAAAATTTAGAACTTTGTTATATTATGAATGTTTCTTTGAACAGTAATAATAAAGTTTGGGTAAATAACATTGTAATACAAGACTTCATCATCTGAAGGTACACTTTTATAATATTAACAAAATAATCTTGTTTCAGAACATCAAATACAGAAAAACATAACCATGTATACTATTGTGTGTTTAAAGGTGTATGGATACCTCTTATTACCAAAGACATTTTTTGTACTGACGGATTAGTGTTGAAAAAATTATTTCGTTTATAACTGTTTTGAATGAGAACTATTTTAACATTTTGCTGCCGTCCTTATAAGAGGTTTGTCCAAATGCATAACCATGAAACAATATTAATAAGCAGTTATCTAGTCCAAGTTTTTAACAGGTCAATACAAAATTTGTAAAACTGTTTCTTTCTGAGACATCTAGACTCATTTAAATGAGCAACCACAAGGCTGGGGAAGAAAGTGTTCATTTATGCATCATGGGAAATTACTTGAGATGCTCCCTTGTTATTTCAGTGGTTCTTTTGGAGTCACTGGACTGTAAAATAAGTTAGGAAGGAGTTGTTGAAAACCTCCTTAAGTATTCAGTCATGTCATTAATCCTTTTCTGTACATGTCACAAGATTTTACTTAGTTACATTTAAAATTTAATTAAGCTATTTTATGATCAATGTTTGTCAATGATGTCAGAATTACAATTTACATTATAGTTCAAAGTTTTATATTAACTAAATTTTAATTCCTTTATTTCAAATGATACCTTATATAAAAATTATAAGTTTTGTTTTATTATCTGCAAGTTCACAAAATGTTAAATTTGTGTCTTTGTAGTTTGAACAGTTCTTGACTCATGCTAACCTTCCATATATAGAAAGAATCTAGGTTATTTGCACTGTTTACACATTATTCTTTCAAGTTCCATATGGCACGTTCAGAGAAATAAATTTCTCTGAACTCTTGACTGATGCCACGTCCACTTTCTACCACTGAATTGCGATTTCCCAGCCAATAATACTTAGTTCAGCTAGATGTTCATAACCAATGGAAAGAGCACTTTTTAAATTATGTTCTCTTAATTGTTATTTTAAAATTTGCACAACCTGCTCTTAGCATTGTTACTACCTTTTCCCCACCACTTTAGCATTATTTCTCACCTAGAAATACATTAGTTAGATAGAAAGTTGTATTATATTTAAGGTTTATATTTTACTTAATTGTGTGTTATTTATGTTTTAAGATGTATATTTGAAAGGTTTAATAATTTTTCTATATATAACACAATGCCTGCTCGGTCACAAGTGTTAGTGTAATACGCGAATGTCACCACGCTCTGCCAAGGGTTGAAGTTTCTCTGCCCACCATATGGAAATATTGGGCAGGGACGCCCACTGACGTATGTTAAAGGACAGGAAAGGATAGTAAATTATTAAAATTAATTATATGTGAAAATGTAAAGACATGCAAAAAAAAGATGGTTTAAGATTATTTCAAAGGTATATGTACATTTTTGCTATGTCTTAATGCTAAGAATTTCATTGTAATATAGTACAAATTGACTAAATAGCTACAGTTAGTAATATCATAGCGAATGTGAAAACAAAACAAATTAACTTAAATTAAAAGAACTTTTAATATTCAATTAGGAGGTTCTAGGGTTTATGCAAATGAAACCTACAAGTTGTAAAAAAGTATTTTTTTTTATATTCATGTTGTTTTGTTGATTACGCGTAACCAAAGGCTAGTTGGGTACACTCCCATAAACTTAGTATTAAAGCAATGTTAGTTGATTAATTCAATCACTTCATTAGGCTTACATTTACAACTTTAAAAGAAAAGATAGTTGGGTAATCCAAGTGCTTCATTAAGCTTACATTTATAGCTTTAACCCTATTATGATGGGTCATGTGTCAAAGGACATGCCATTGCATTTGTTGACTTGCATTCAAAATTTTATTCAACTATTATTTTATGAATTTATGTCAGTAAGTTTGGTATCAAACTGTAGATTATGATTCAAATTTTAGTATTATACACTAGTTAATTTCTTAATTTAAAAGTAAATATTGAAAAAACACAGCTAAACATTGATTTTTGCGTGTCATGTGGTATGTTGAATGTAGCACTGGTTCACATTAGATGTTTGTGATGACAAAATACAAAGTCTATAGTTTCGTACGAATTAGGAACTCAAATTACCGATATTGACAAGCTAGAATATAAAATAAGAACCTCATATCTTTTCTCTTTGGTGAAATATCACTCATGTACTGAATAAGCACAGTGGCACCCTAACTACCTCTTTTCATTTTTGAAAATGCTCCCTTATATACACTTACTTCTATATATGACATGAATTACAAATCAAATGTTCAGAATGTCCCCCTAGTGGTTTTCCCAGCCATTTTGATGTGTTAATTATGTTATTTTCACGCCAGATTTCATACGATAAGGTAAGTCTTTAGTGAGCTCTGAATTTCATATTTTTTTAAATCCAAACACAGCTTAGTTACTAAGCTTGATAAATTATAGTGGAATTCTATGGTATCAATATAGTAATTTATGATTTCATTTGGTTATTTAAAATGTATATATAAAACCTAAAAAAATTTATTTTCATATCCTCAAAATAAGTGAGAACTTATTTGTAAATAGTATTAATGTATATACATATATAATGTATAATAATTGAAATATTACTATTTTACAAAATACTAGTCTACTAAAACACAGCCAAGACGTGTCTTTTTGTAAAGACTAAAGGTCAGTTTAATATTATTAGAAACGGTATCCCGAGTGCATGTGCACTGTAACTTCTGTACTGTTAGTCAGGCATGGCTGGAAGGTCAATATAATAAAAATAATAATTATATATAAGTGTATACTGTTATGAGATTTAAGCTATTTAGACTAAACATTTGTGTTTTCGTGTAATAATCTATAGTCATTCTAGAGCGAAAAAAGCATAACTTATACTTATTTCCAAATTTTTTATGGTAGTTATGAGGTCGGTCAAATAGTTAAGGTAGAGAAAATTACAGACAAAACATAAAGTTTTACTGAAAACAAACGTTTGAAATGTACAGAGGAGGTTTTAGAGATTACAAAAATATCTGAAATTTTTGGAATGAACAATAGTTTTTTAGTTATAAAATGAAAATCACTTCAGACTTAGATTGGTAATGGAACATACTTGATATTTTCACAAACACGTCTATAATAAAAATACTTCATTAAAAAATATGATTTTTTGTGTACAAAAGACTCTTAATCTTTTCTAAAAGTCTACCAAATTTTGTGAAGATACACTTACTGCATTAAATGTTATAGAATAAATACTTAACTCGTGTATTATTATACCGAGCCCATCATGAAATGGTTAAAGGAATGTTAGTTGGGTAATTCTGCACAAAAAATTAAATAATTCAAAGTCACATCACTACAGAAGATGCAAGTATACTTGCATGGATGTCTGTTTACTGTCTTAAGGACACTGTAAGATTGTGATATAATATTTACCTTAGAGGAGATGCTGGTGGAGTTAGTATGGTTTCACTTAGGCTCCCATTTGCTAGGCTGTGACCTTCTATTACAGTGGACTTTAGTTCCTCAATCTGCAGTCTGCTATCATCCCCAGGGGCCTTCAATGTACCTTTAACTATATCTGATAGTCGGTTCTCAAATGCATCAGAACCAGAGATAGTCGAATCCTGGAGGATAAAGAAAAGAAACTATGACAAACTACAAAATTCTTATTGCTTCAACAATAAGATAAATAAATCCTATTATGACAGGTCATGTGTCAAAGGCCATGTCATCATCGCATTTGTTGAATTCCATTCAAAATTTTATTGAACTACTCTTTTATGAATTTATGTCAATACGTTTCGTGGTTTTAATTCAAATTTTAGTATTATAAGTTAGATAAACCTTTCATTACGAGCTGGCTGGAATCCACCCGGCTTGTAACCATGGGAGTAATTACACTATGATTTTTGATCATATATGCACATCTTTACAAAATTTTGCAGGTTATTGGTAAACATTATAAAGTTTTTGTACACAGAATATCAGGTTTTGAAATTAAGTATTAAGATTTTTTAATTAAGGATTTTCTCGTAAACATTTTTCGTTCAGAATGTCGACTATCCAACACGCAAAGCAATTTTGATTTTGAGATTAAAAAACACTTTAATGCATTAGAACATTTTCAAATTTTATATGCAAAATATTTATAATCTCTAGATAATTATCAAATATTTTTTTAAAAACTATATTTTTCTGTTATTTTCACTACTGTACTTCTGTATGGGTTAGTTCGATTTGACTGACTTTGTAACCTCAATAAAAAATATAAATTATGCGTTTTTTGTTCTAGAATGACTATAAATTATAACACGAAAACACAAATGTTTAGTCTAACTGGCTTAAATCTCATAACATTTATATATATTTATCATTTTTATTGTATTGACTTTCCAGCCATGCCTGGCTAACAATACAGAAGTTACAATGATGTGGCATACGTGCATTCATGATACCATATCCATTGATATAAAACTGACCTTTAATCTTTACAAAATAACCTGTCTTGGCTGTGTTTTAGTAGACTAGTATTTTGTAAAATAGTCACATTTCAATTATTATACATTATATATGTATATAGATTATTGCTATTTACAAATTAGTTCTTAAACTTATTTTTCCTGAAACATAGAACACTAAATAAAGAAGTAAAGCAAACAATTATCTCTTCTAGTTACGACATTTTTGCATATGGAGGATATGAAACAAAATATATTTTTTAGGTTTTATATGTACATTTGAATAACTAAATAATCATAAATTACTATATCAGTACCATAGAATTCCACTATAATTTATCAAGCTTAGAAACTAAGCTGTATTTTGGTCTAAAAAATTATGAAATTTCGAGCAGACTAAAGACACACCCTACTTCATTGAAATATTGGTTCAAAAGAAAGAAATGATGCCAAGACAGTTAAAATAGCTAAGAGAGCCACTAAGGGGACATTCTGAGCTTCTGATTGATTATTCATGTCATATATAGAACTAAGTGTATATAAGGGAGAGTTTTCAAAAATGGAAAGAGGTGGGTGGGGTGAC